GAAAGAGACTTTAAAAATGTAGCAGACAACTGCAAGAAGAAAATTTCCACTTCTATCAAGTTTACATTAACCTTAATTTCATTAAATGAATAATTTAACATTTACCTTTTCAGGCTTAGACTTAGTATAGGACGATAAATTATACAGTCTGATTTCATTTTTCTTCTCTTTTTAGTAGCTGGTGTTAAGGATTAGTTTCTCCTAGGATTCTCTTAAACAAAACAAATTTCAAATTTTTGTTGATTTTCTCAGTAGAGATTCTGACCGATAAATTCATTCAGTAGATGGGTGTTTTGTTCCTCTTAAATGAGGTCTTGTGAATTTAATTGTGACTGATTTTTAAGGAATAGAATTCACAGAAATAAATACATTTTATGCTAAAGTTAATTTCAACATTTTTATGTTTTAAGTGTACTAAAGGTAAGTATTCATTTAGGGAATAACACCACAGCTTCTGTTTGATAAATGTTACCCAAATCACAAGGTAAAGTTTTGGTCCTTAGCTTCTGGAGCTATTTGGAAGGGGTGGAACCATTAACAGGTGGGGCCTTGTGGGAGAAAGGCCACTGGAACCCGCACCTGAAGAAGATATTGGGACCCCAGTCTTTCCTTCCTCTTTACTTCCTGGCTGTCATGAGGTGAACAGCCTCCTCTGCTATGTGCCTCCCGCATGATTTACTGGGATGCCACAGGCATAGGCAGCAATGCCAAGCAACTACAGTCTGAAACTTTGAGAACCATGAGCCAAAACTAACATTTTTTCTTATAAATTGAGTACCTCAGGTATTTTGTTTTAATAATACAAAGCTGACTAATACAACGACCCTTTGGGGAAATTTTTTCAGAATTTTTTATTGAGAAAATTTTTTTGTGTGTCTTCACTTTGCATAATTGTTTTTGAATTTTTTTATGCTTCTTACAATGTGTTTAAAGTGACAGAACACGCCATACAAAATTCCTAATATGATGGAATGGCAATTCTTGTGAGAGTGATTCATGAACTCTATAAACAGAAGGACTTCAATATAAGAATCCTACTCCATTTCTTACAACCTGGAGAATGTTTCAGAATCAAACAGCCTTAGATCATTTAAGCTAAAATGCTTTTCTATGACAGTGCTCTTAATCTTTTTTAAGACTACAGTATTTTATCAATTATGACATTGAACTAAAAATCCAGATAAATATGACATTTTAAAGAAAAATAATATTAAACACCTACTAAAATATGGAATACTTTTTCAAATCAGCTACATAGAGGTCTTCTAGGGTGTGTGTGTGTATGAAGAAACAGAAAATAACTCTATATAACAAAATCACCATTAATAGTCAAAATAGAAGTAACAAACTGACATGGTAATCTTTCTTAAAATGATCATTTAAAAAAATTATAGCCTTTATTTTTAAAGGAAGTTTTATGTTTACTGAAGAACTGATCAGAAAGCAAAGAGAATTCCCATATACTTTTTTCCTGCTCTCAGTTTCCCCAGTTTTTAAAAGAGATTTTATTTATTTATTTATTTAATTTGTGTGTGTGTGTGTGTGTGTGTGTGTGTGTGTGTGTACATGCATGCAGATGCCTGTGGAGGCCAGGAGAGAGATTCACTGGGGCAGGAGCTATCAGTGGTTGTGAACCAATCAATATGGGTACAAGAAACTGAACTTGGGTCCTCTGCAAGAGCAGCAAGCTTTCTTAACCACTGAACCACCTTTCTAGTCCCCAGTTTCCCCCATTGTTAACATCTTGCAGTGATGTGGTATACCTGTTGTAACTAATAAACCAATATTGAAATGTCATTATAAAATTCAAAATTTACATTAAGATTTACTTTTTTGCTAAATAATTCTATAGACCTTGTCAAATACATGATGACATGTATCCGCCATTAATGTATCTCATGAAATAGTTTCACTGTTCTAAAGATACCTTGTGTGCCACTTCTGTCCCATTTCTCTCCTCCCTTCTACTCCTGGCAAAGAAGGTAGTCTTAATGCCGCTATAGTTTTGCTTTTTCCTAACCATACAGTTGGAATCTTTCACTGTTTGGCCTTTCCAGATTGGAGTCTTTCATTTAGTCATATACCTTCATGATTTCTCTATGTCATTCCATGACTTGATAATCTTATTTTTAAAATAAATACTATCAATTATATTGATATACCAAACTTTATCAGTTCATCTATTGAAGAACATCTTAGTTGTTTCCGAATTTTGGCAATTATAAATAAAGCTGTTATAAACATTCATAGGCCAGTTGTTGTATGGACTTAAATTTTCAAGTCATTTGGATAACTACCTAGAAGTAAAATCACTAGATCATGTGGTAAAACTACAATTAGCTTTTTTATAATAATGCCAAACTGACTCACAAAGAAGCTGCATCATTTTGTGTTCCAAACAGCAATTAACGGAGTTCCTTTTGCTCCACATTCTTAATAGAATGTATTTTTTTCAGAATTTTGGATTTTTGCCATTCTAATAGGTATATAGCAATATCCTGTTTTAATTTGCACTTCCCTAATGACAGAGTATTTTTAGAATATTTTCATATGCGTAGTCACCATCTGTCTTTTTTGCTGAGATGTTTCCTCCGATATTTTATATCTTTTAAAATAAGGTTCCCTGTTTTTTTTCTGAATTTTAAGAGTTATTTGTGTATTTTGGATACAAATCCATCACCATTTATGTATTTTAGTCTATGACTAAAATTCTTATTTTTAGTCTATGACTGCTCATCCTTTAGATGAACAGTTTAGAAGGAATTTATCTCAGAAGAATAGTAGTACCTTGAAGTACAGTCTACGAAAATCTGGTTCTGGAAATATCTAGTGGCCATTGTGCAGCTACAGTTTAAGTGTCAGGAAAAAAGCAAGCTATCTTATATTGATCATTTCACTCCCAAATACATCACATTTATTCAATAGACATAAAGTGCTCAGATGTTTACACACACTGCCTATTTTTCAAGATGAGTAAGAAAAAGATAGCATTCCCAAGAGTTTTCTTGTTGGTGCGTTATTCTAGAGTGAGTAAATTATAAACCAGTTACATTGACCTTTAAAATGTACTCTCACCCCACCCCCCAAAAATTAAAAGATTTTTTAAAAGCTCAACTTTAAACCTGAAAACGAAACAGGTTGTTTTAGGCAGGATTAGTCACACTGGAAACACTAATAAAATCACTATGTCCATAACGTACTGCAGTATTTTTATATTTGTTATTTAAAATGGTCAATTTCAAAACTTGGCCCTATATAATATTATGGGCTACTTGAATAATTAGAGAATTATTGTACATTCTTGAAATATATTGAAACTTATTTACACCTTTTATTGTCTACTTTTGCACTACCACTTGAAAACATAGCTATTTGCATACGATCCACAGTGGTCTCTCTAAGAGCATGCCCAGATCAGGAACCTCAGAAGAGCACAGAGGGTCACAGGAGCGCCAGCTGCTCAACAGCTTCCCCTACAGAGTTCTCTGCGGTTCATCTTACACTCTGGCTAGTTACACACTGTCGCTTCGCTTTCTTTCATAGGGAGTAGAGGTTGGCAGTACTTCCCTGTGACATCCACTTTCACACCCAAATTGGTCTTCATAGGTTCCCATTGTGTGCACTTCAAAGCAACTTGCCTTGTTGGCGGCTGTAAGTGGGAAGTACAAGTCTTTCTTTTCTTCACTGCTCTTTTCTGGCTCACAAGCAACCTCCCACCAAAAGCTGAATCTGTAGAAGAGACTACATCCAAGAGATAATACCATGAAAAAGTAGCAAGAGAAGCCCAGGTGGCCACCTTGCAAATTTCCAATGTGGAAGCCTTCGACCTCTCTGCCCAAGAAACAGCTACAGTCCTAGAGTAATGAGCTTTACAAACCCTAGGAGCCTCTTTACCTTAACTACATACGCCTCCCTAATACAATCCCTTAACCATCTAGCTAAGGAACTCTTAGAAGCCATTTGACCCCTCTTAAGACCCCCTAAGAGTACAAACAATCTTTCAGAAGATCTGAAATCTTTGATTCTTCTGAGACAAACCCTAAGTGTTCTTCTTACATCCAATTGAAACAGCCATTGCGCTTTGTCATTGCTGGGGCTAAAGAGAAAAGAGAGCCAAGAAACCTCCTGGTTTAGATAAATCTCAGATGCCACCTTTGGAAAAATTGAGGAACTGCCCAGAGAACACCTTTATTCTGAAGGAGCATCAGAAATGCCCCATAAATCAAACCTAAGGCCAGCCCGTAAAATACCACCACATCAAAGAAACACAGTAAGGCACCATAACAGTCAAATAATGCCCTATCATTCCCTAAATGATGAAATTAGAACACCATCAAATCATGGTCAAACAAAAGCAAATAAATTTAACTATCAAATTGTTTCTTTCTCAGAAAATACTTCTCTTGTCTCTAGGAAATCTCTTGTTCACATTCAAATTACTAAAAGAACTACCAATTCAGCTAAGTCTATATTATAATAGTAAGCATCAAAGTAAAAAGCAAAATATTTGGTTAACTATCTTTATATTTTCACTATGCGATGTTAAGCACCTGGACATTTTAAAAACATCTGGACAATGGAGAAAAAAGTCTTTACTTTCAGCAGATTGTTTGGATTACACAGACATAGTAGGCTACATTTGCCAAGTTAACAAAATATGCTCCAATAAAAACAAATACACAGGAAACCAAATGATTTGCTACTTTTTCTTCATTCTCCCCCACAAAAAGTTTTAAGCAAAACATGAAAGACTAGGAGTTTCCTTTGCTTTCTATAATTATTCAACTTAAGATATCATTTTTGCCTAATTTAAAAATCAACAAATTAAAAAAATGAATTATATTTGAGGAGGAAGCATAAAGAGTTATGTCACGTTAATTAGTAGAGGTGATAAATTACCATTGAAATCTACCTGATGACTTTATAGACATACACAGGCGCCAAGGATCCGAGTACAACTGATTATGACTAATAATAATCAGATACATACAGACTAGAGATGCATGCGCCATCTCAGTATTATTAGCAAAAACAATGAGTCTTTCTGTAAGAAGCAGTATATTTTAAAATGAAATGGAGATCTTTTTTAAAGGTTAAAAATTCATTCAGTTTTATGTCTTACAGGGCTTATACTGAGTTCAATATTGAATAACTATTAATTCAACAGCGAACCTAAAATTTTTACAGCCACTTTTGAAAGAGATGTATCTTTGCTCTGGAAACTGTTATTGAGTATGTTTAAGTTATAACAAAATGTTTCTTCTAAAAAATAATAAATTAATTTTTTTAAAAAAGCCAATGCTTTTATTAAGAATTAACATTGACACACTAAAAAAAAAAATAGGATTTTTCCTGACAGTTTTCTTCAAGGTCATTCTTTGTTGTGATTTATAGAAAGTTGTGTCAGATAAATTAATCTTGGTTTACACACACACACACACACACACACACACACACGGAATTCAACAACAAAGAATGCATATATCACAGAGGACTGATGGATGACTCAATGAGTTAGAGTGCTTAGCGCCAAGCCTGATGAACTGAGTTCAATCTCTGGAACACACATGGTGGTAAGAAACAGCCCTTGAATGTTATCCTCTGACATTCACATGTATGTGGGTAAACACACACACACACACACACACACACACACACACACATTCACATGTATGTGGGTAAACACACACACACACACACACATACACACCCCACATAATAATGATAATAAATATATATATAGTTTTTTTAAAAAAAAAAAAGGTAAAAAATAAAGAGTACCTGTATTACAAAGGGATGTTCTAGTACTGAGCCATTTCTTACATCTGTTATTAAAAATTATTTCTACATATTGAAGTTGATAATCCACAAATATGCTTTATTGTACACTATTAATATAATATTAGTTACTTTTATCAGCCATACAGCTTTTATGGCAACCAATTTGGCATAAGACTGTCTATTGTGATGTAATTATATATTTCCTTTTTGATTTTGTTTAAGAATAGTAAAGATTGCTCTTGATTATACAGCGTTCACAAGTCTCAACATTGCTTAATTGTAATCTACTGAAGTGGAATAAGCTTTCCATTTATCATCTTTTCCCCAAATCAAAATATAACATCTTTTCTTCCATTTGTGATTATTTCAGTTTTATGTCTTTTACACAATATTAGTTAGGCTACACTTAAGAATAAAACTCTCATAATTGATAAAAATTGTCAAGGGTTTGGACTAGGATCTAAACAAGATGATTCCAAGTGGGTAGGGGTCTAGATGTTTTAGAGTTCATTGTGTTTATCTTCAGAAAAGAGCTATAGACAGTTGAATGAGAAAAACCCAATCTTAGTCAGGCATGATGGATGAATGCCACCAGCCAATATCAATTGTCTGAGAGCCCAACATGTTGCAATAATTAGGAAGTCATATTGCTCAGAGTTCTTTGAGTCCCCAGTCAACCCCACATAGAAAACTAATTGGAGCTCACATTATCTCCTAATTAAGTATACATTCTCAGTTTGCCTTTTGACTAACATATTTTCCACCTTATAGTTTTATTTTTTGTCAGCCATGGAAATTTACAATCCACCCTTACATATTTTGTGAGTTCCAAATTTGGAAAATGGATGACTATAGTTCAAATGTACCCCACACAAGTTCATGCTTTGGAAGTTTGGTCCTGTAAAAGTGGCAGAATATTGAAGAGGGAGAATGCAATGGGAGACTACTGGGGGCAGCACCATCACCAAAGCCAGCACCATACATTTCAAGTCTTCCAGCCTCCAAAGCTATGAGGTAAATAAATCTCTTTCCTTTCTGTTATCCAGGATCAGAAATTTTGTTACAGTAAAGGAAAATGAACTAATACAATGATCTACATTATTTACTTTCTAATAGTGCTACCTAAACTTAACCAGAAGGACACAAGCCAGTTAACCATGCTTAATATAACACAAACTTCAACCACAATAACTTTTCTAATATTATCTACATAACCCAAAGTAAATAAAGATATACAAAAGCAAATATATTGAGAAGTGTAATTTTTTTTACGAAGACACTAGGTTTGCAGGTTGAAGTTTTAGATTGTTAATCTGTTGTAGCCATTTTCCTTAGCATGATATAAGTACTATATAAAAGAGAACTTTGTACGTCATTGTGACAAAAATGAAAATTCATATACATATGACAACAGAGGAACTATCTGAACCAATATGCCTTTGGATTGTACTCTCAATGTTACAAACCTTACTTCAACCTACATGGTGAAACTTTCTTCAAATGGATTTTGTTCAGACTCTTTACCTTTGGAAAACATATTAGAAAATTATAATTACTATTTTTAATAACATTTATTGATTGGTTATGATACGCTAGATGATCCTTTAAAAACTTTATATACATCAAGTCATTCAATTTTTAGAACCCTCTTTTTTTACATATCAGACGCTGAAACATCTTGTCCTAAGAAAAAGAAAGAGAAAACTAGTGTGCTCCTCCGAGGTTATTTTGAAGTTGAGAAAACTCAGGCCTCAGGAGATTATGTATTCTGTTGAATATTACTTGGCATCTGGTGATAGGAGAGAAGCTTCTAAATCATCAGCTCTGCTTATGCTTTCAATAGGCTAGGCTATGTTTCTTTGGGAAAAAAGATACGATTTTAGTCAAAGACAATTATCCAGAGCTAATTTAGTCGTTAGTCCAGTGCTTTGTCCATCAGAATCATGGAATCTTGAAAGTGCAAAAGATAAAAATGAACCGTGGTACACATTACACTGAATATTCATCTAATGAACTTTACCATGTATTATTTTTTCAAGAATTGGTATAGACTCAAAGTGGCAGGAAGTTGAGCCAGAGAGAAACTGTACATTTACAATTAAACAAGAGTATATAGTACCTGAAGAATTTCTGGACATCTTAAGCGATAAAAACATTTCTTCAAACAATTCTTGAATGTTGCTTTCCAGCTTCAAAAAGGATTCTGTGAGCTGTGATAAGAATTTGAGTTCATCTAAGGATAAAGAAAAATTTCTTCCCTTCTGTGTGCCTTCAGGAACAACTGTGAAGAGAAAATCAATACCGTTGGCCATCTTAACTTGTTTCCTTGGAAAATATTAGAACAATCTATGTGGTCCTACACATCATCAAACTAACAAAATGGTCCATAATTAAAACAAGTTTGTTCATTAAGAAACACACATAAAATGTCTTAGGAGAATAATTTCTTCTGAGAAGATGATATATCCTCTTTGATGGAATTATGACAAATAATTAAGTTGACTCAGGGTTATAAACAGGAATATAATTTGTTGAATAATTCACATCCTTATCAATTCTACTTTTTTCAAACCTAGCACAGTTTAACTCTGATCATAAGGAAACATCACACAATTCAAATTAGGGGACATTCAACAAAATAGCTGGTCCATATTTTTTCAAAGTGTTATCAGGAAAAATAGCCTCAGATGTTATTTCATCTGAAAGAGCCTAAAAAGACATAATAAATGAAATCATTACCTGATTAACATTTTATACGACTGTAGGGAACATTATTTGGGTATTTGGGGGAAATTTCAACAAAGTCTGTAAATTAATGCTCTTATCAAATGCATGCAAATTTCTTGGTTTAAATAATGCACTATGGTTATGAAAGTGAATGCTCTAGATTTTAGGAAACATACACTGGAGAATATAAGAATACATGTCTTTGACCAAGTCTTAGTTCAGAGAAAATAGTTGAGGAGAGAATTAGAAAGGAAGGGGGGAGAAGGAAAGAAAGAGTGCAAGAGAGAGAACAAATGTAGATGTGTTAAAATAATATTTGAACACTTGAAGATCCTGGATATAAAGAAAACTTGGAATTCTTCCTGTCATTCTGGCAGCTTCCTTTATAAGTCTAAAACTAAAATAAAAATGTAAAAAACAAAAAGTCTAAAGAACAGATCAGATATACTCCTCAAACCCTTATGTATGTTATTTCTATATTATAAAAAAGAAACTTCATCCACCCAAGGCTCAGGGATCATCACAGAAGAGGGAGCAGAGAGATTGTAAGAGCCAGGGAGGATGAGCACAACTATATGGAAAAAGACTCCTACAATCTCCTGGAAACCTGCTCATATGATTCTATGGCATAGGTTTCAGCATACACAAGTCCCATGCAAACTCAGACAGACAGTAACCTAGCACAGAACTGAGAAAATGAACAGCAGACCTCAATCTTATCTGAAGGAATGTTGGCAAGTGATTGCTACTAGATGAAGAAGAGCTGATCTTCTACTCAATGGACAGATTTGCACTGGGGAACTGCTGGGAGCACTGACAACACAGTGGGCAGTAACAGGGATAACAGAATATATGGGTTCCAGTGGGGGGGTATGGGAGGGTGCCATTTGGGATGGGGGTATAAAGATGATTAAGATGGTTTGGGATGTTCTGTATGAAATACACACCAAAAAAAAATAATAAAATAAAAATAGTTTAAAAAAGAAGCAAATCCATCTGGTATTTAGATACAAACTATATAATAATTATATAATTCATGAAGCCTTATTTAGAAATCACTCCTGTCAAAGTAATTTCTGCATAAGAATACAACTTAAACAAAGATTGAGGATTTTTTTCCCTCATAATTATACTACTAGTCAGGTCACACTGCCATTTTATTACAATAGAAAATCCAATGCATTTAGGAGCAGGGAGCATAATAAATTTACAAAATACTTTTAATTCCAATTTGTTACTTTCATTTTAGATTGATATCAACAAATGATATTTTTGACCATGTTTTCAAGTAATGGAAAGAATCTTTCCATTACTAATGCCATTTATAAAATGGCCTTGAATACAAAAAGGATTAATTATATTTTAAAAATGCATAAAGTTCAATAGTTATAACAAGCATAAAGTGCCTTTAGGGAGACAATATCAAGGGTGCTTCTGAGAAATGGCGTAAGGGCCTGGTGATTCCATATGATGAACTCAAAAGATTACTTTCATCACATGGATTTAGAAGGAAGGTTTCAGAAATACAAGAAGTTTATAGGTCATCATTTCACTTCAATGGAACGTTAAGTCACTGGTATTACACTTAAGTCTGTATGATACACTCTTGCCCTCAGGACCAAAAATGTCATTTCATCTTTGCAGGTAATCTGAGAAAGGTATCTACCAACTGCGACTGTGGAATTGAACACTGTTCCTAAAGAGTAACAAAACTACCTATAAAACAACTACCTACAAAAATCCTGTTTCATCCCCACATTAACCTTAGTCCCACATGTACAAAAACCTGTCTCTAAATAGCCAGTCCTATTCCTTTCATCCTTTTAGGACACCTTGAGTACACACTATGTACAAGCAGCATACACAATGAAGATTTTTCCAAAAAGTTTTGCTCAAAAAATGAAAAACAAAACCAGCATGTTCTAATAGTCATCTGATTCCCATTCTACCTATTTGTTGTATGTATTTGTATGTGTTTATGCATTTGTGTGTTCATGGAGGTCAGTGGTCAACTCCAGTGTTATTCCTCAGGAACAGTTTACCTTGTTTATTGAGACATCCTCTCACTGGGACCTGGAATCACTGACTAAGCTTGGCTGATGAGCTATCATCCTCAGGGATCCCCTTGTCTCTGTCTCAGCAGCACTGAGATCACAAGTGGACACCAAAACACTTGGCTTTATTTATGGGTTCTGGGGCTCAAAATCAGGTCCTCATGCTTGTGTGGAAAGTACTTTACCAAAGTATCCCCCCAGCTCCTTGGTGTCTTTTAAGCTGATCAGGATAAGGGACTAGTACAACTTTACAACTTTCTAAATCTTAAAGTTTATTTTGGACCTCACATACTTTAAAAACAACTTTCAAAGACTTTTTCTAATTCTTTATTAGGCAATACTACTCAGTAGTGTTACTTGGAATTAAACATATTTAGAAGGCTTTATTTGGTGCAATTCTAATTTGCAGATATTATACATGTTTATGAAATAAGCAAAGAAGTACCTCAAGAAAAATCTTCAACTCAAAACACCACAACTTAAATGTTACTTGTCTAAGATTATGTAGGGTCTGAGAATTCTACGTGAAGAGGACGACTTCCCTTGATGACCTGGGGTTACAAGGACCTTGTATTCTAGACCTATGGTGATACTGAAAGGCAAGTCCATTTTAACTCAACGACTCTTTATAACTTATTAAACAGAACAGAACAATGTGTATAACCTAAATCTAATCATTTCTGTCCTAAAGAAGCAATAATAATGGAGGAGCCTATTAATTAGCAGTTCTTATTTCCTATCACTCTTAGTATTCTCCCAGAGGTATTGTGAGGTTCTTAATTTATGGAGAAAATAATTCAGTGATAAATTCATTTAGTGAAAGGCCAATTAAAGCAAAATTAAACACAAAGGATAGAATGCCATTTCCTGAACTTATTTGGCTTATTTTCCCCATAGTATCTCACAGGACTAGGGTCCTAATAAGCACACCTTACCTCGGGATTCCTCTCTGCTGAAGCATTTTGAATACTGTGCCTCTTAGACTCTTCACTACTAACCAAATAAAGAAAGGACTTCTTGGAGCAGAAATTCATTTTGTATTTTCCATCATTTTATTACCTTATTATTAGAATAATATACCATTATTATTCCCTCTTGTTCATCTTACAAAATTAATTATTTGATCTTCATGTCACCTGTCAGGAAAACTTCATCTGAATATAACCAGGTGTTATCTTTCCCAACTAAGCCAATTTGGCTTTAATTCATTCATGTATTAACTTATGGATTTACTTAATTACTTGTCACTATAGAACTGTCTTGCTGTCAATAAGGCTTGGGCATACATGATTATACATAGGTAACCATGTTTGACTTGCCCTGCCAATCACTGCTATAAAATATTTGAAATAATTGCCATTGTATTGTTTGTATGATGAGCTCTGATGCATAAAAAACACAAATTTTATCTCAAGCTCAATATTATAAAGGAAAACTAAAATTTTCACTTACAGCAAGTGTTTACCATCAATGAGCAATGATTTAAAATAATAACTGAAGAGTTGAGGTTTAGAAGGAAATATGAAATATGAAATCCTATAATTTCTTTTTCTTCTTTTTAAAAGACTATTTGAGCCCAGTATCAATTTCTCTGCATAACAGGATCATGATAAAAGTTGCTCTTTCTATGCAGGGACTGATGTTTGCCCCTCTAAAAAAGGGTGTTTCTCAAACTGATCATTGCATGAAAGGGCTACATGATCAAGTAACTTTGAGGACTGTGGAATATTACATACCTCTTCCTTAAGGTAATCCACAATGCCAACTGTCAAATTATTTACTTCCATAATAGAGTAAAAACTTTTACAATTTAGTTTTTCTCATACTTTCTTGGCAAAGGAACACCAGCCAGTTTACCAAGAAATTTATTCACTTCTGAGATGTTCAGAAAAACAATTGTTTGGGGCACACTTCTGCAAATGATTGTTTGACTTGAATATTTACATATGCTTTGCAGTTTTGTCTTCCATTGTAGACCTTTTACCATGAGTATCAGGGGCTAATTTTGCAAGTGTACTTTTTTTCCTGGTAAATTGCAGCTCCTCCTGTCACCATGGTATTTTTTACAGACTCTTTTGAGAAATTAATGAAAGTCTTCTAAATCCTCCTAGATTCTCTTGTGAAAAAATCTCCATGAAGTCTTTTTGAGGACTGAAACAAAAACACCTAAGGCTTGCCTACAGATTTGAAAGAGTAGCATGGTCCAGGATTGTATCTAGCATGTAAAAGGTACTGAGGTATATCCCTAAGTCTGCAAATAATTTTAATAATTATGGTGATAATGATAAAAATAATATAAATTTAAAATAATAATAAAAGAAAAAGAATTCCCATTTGCTGGATTAGGTGTTGAGCCTATAAATTCCAGGACTAAGGAAGCACTGAAAACAGGATTTTGAGTTCAAGTTCAGGTCAACCTGGGCAACATGGTAAGACCCTCTCTCAAAAATAAACAAAAAAGCCTTGGTGGTTAAAAATTATTCCCTAGGTCAAAAAACCT